GGAGGGGGAGGCGAGGGGGAGGGGAAACGAGATTGGGTTTGTCGTTTTCTTTTGCCCCAGGAAAGGTAAAGAAAGACTGTAGTTGTCCGCAGTGGGAGCGGAGAAGCTGGGGAGTCGCCGTGGTCTTTGCTTTAGCGATGTGGCCCCATCCCGCCCGACTCGCGCTCGGTCGCAGCCGGAGAATCCCACTGTTAGCGCGACCCGGGGACTGTCCTTCCGTCTCCGCCACTTACCGCGCTCATCTTCCCGCACCCAAGGGGGCCGGGAGCCGAGAGGCAGTCAGGCCTCGTTGAGAGCATGGGTTTGCTTCCCACAGCGTCAAGGGCTTTTTGTGTCAACTCGCTACAACTTTGGAGAAGTTGAAATCCGGCAGCCAGCGCCTCCCCACCTTAAGCAAAGCCCCGGCTGCAGCCACTAAGTTAGCTCGTCCAGTTGGCCTGCATCTTCTCGTTTTCTAAGAAAGTATTTTTCGCTCGTGGCGTTGCTAATGTTAGTTCTGGGTTCAGCTGGGGAGATCCTCGTACTTTCTGTGTTTTTATTTTTCAGCGTATGTTGGTTTTTATTTATTCCTTTCTTAGCCTCATTTTTAGGGTGATATACTGTACTGGGGGAAGGAAAGTGATGATGCCAGTTCCCAATTCCAATTCTAAGCCAGGCATTTCCCCCCCTAATTAATGCAGAGACTCTAAAAGAATTTCCCCCGGCCTGGCCAGCCATTGTAATGCACATACGGATTATTCACGTGGTAATGAGCACTTTCGACAGTTCTTGCTCACACATACGAATAAAAGAAACTTTGAATAAAGGTCCAAATGATCTTGCTGGGGGTGGGGAGGATATTCCCGGAATTTGAGCTAATCAACTATACGGAGTGTATATTTTTGAAAAATATAGATATATTAGAAATAATGTGTTGGGGTTTATAGTAATTGTGCTGCACTAACCTCCCTTAGGAAAAAAGAAAGAAAGAAAGAAAGAAAAACACCCCACAGAATCAGGCTAAAAAGAGCAATAACTTTTTGGCAGAAACTCTCAGGTTCAAATATTTTGTAAGAAGGAAGAGAGCAATAGTTGGAGAAGTTAAACTAGCTTTTAGTGATTGTCACTGTCTGCATAAAACAAGAGGACTCCCATTCTCCCCCTCCCCCATCCCTCCAATCTCCTAACCAAATAAAAGCCAAAATATATTTGTAAATATAAATTATTTTGATAAACTGCATTTAAGAAAAATGATACATTTCATCATTCATTTGATTGGGTTGAATGGTTCCCCAAGGTGTGTTGTTTCATAGCTAGATTAATATTGGACATATACTATTTTAATTATAACATGATTTCCAAGAAGAGGATAAGCCCTTTGACTTGCCCAGAGGTGGTCATTTCCTGGTGCTGAAGTTAGTTGTTGAGTGCTCAGTTCCTTCCTTGGGATATTATTCTGCTCACTAAAACCATTTAATTTCCAATCTAAGGGGATAAATTTAATGTTTTATTAACCTATAAACTGAAGAGAAGTGTGCAGAAGGATGAGATTATAGTTTGTTCCCTCTGCAATTTTTTCTCTCCCCCCAACCCCCTACATACTTTAAATAAAGAGCGTTAAAATATTTTGCTGAGCTATAGTAGATTAGCAAGGTTTCTTGCCAATGCTGGGAAGCTGGTATTACAGACGGTCCCAGGGGAAAATGGCTCACATTAACCACTAAATGAATATTTGACAAGGGCTCATTCGGAGGTATTATTACTATAAACGTGTCCCTACTGGACTTTTCAAGGGTCAAAGAGCAACGCTTCAATTAATTATTTAGTCTGCTAGTAGATTTGGTTGTAATAGCTGTACTTATTTCTAGAACCAACACATTCTTACAGTAGGAAATCTCAGGAGAATCTTCTCCATCAGCAATGCCTTGGATTGAAATACACAGAGCCCTGGTATCATTCTATAGCTGACTTTTTCATAAAACCTTTTCTTGGGCTGGGGGGTAGGGGTGTAGTCTCTTTTGCTATTTCATTTTCTGTTTCTGGTTTAAAAGAAAAAGAAAAAAAACAAGGACAGAAGTTATCTTAATCTCTACATGTCTGGCAAAGTCTTTTAGGGCCTTATACTTTGGGAAGAGAGGGGAGGAGATTTATTTATAACCTTTGCCTTTTCTAAGTGGAGATGTCACAGGATTTCAGATACTCAGGCAGGGTGTGAATTTAGAAAGGGCACACATTACTGTTTGCCAATAAAATCTGGGTTTTAAAATGGAAGGTGAGTACTCTGAGTTCTAGTAGTCTCAGAGTAAATTGGGGTACAAGATAGTCC